CCACAGGCATTCCCCACCCCAGTGCATGCAGGAAGGGAATGTCCTTGGCTGGACATGGGGACAGCAAGGTGCCAGGCCTCTGGCAGGGGAAGAAGGTTGTGGGGCAGACTATAAAACAAACAGCCATGGGAGGGAATCACTACTGCCCTGGTGCCATGATGCAGCACCGAGCTTCTGGTGCTCACGGCTCTGCTCTCCTCTGCAGGTCTCAGTGATGAGCTACAGCGCCAAGTTTGCTTCATGCTTCTACGGTCCCTTCAGGTGGGTCTGTCCCTCAGCTGGGATTGTCCCCAGCCAGGGCTGAGCTGGCCAGGATGTGTGTCCCCAGATAGTTATTTGGGAACGGGCCTTGGACAGAGCCTGGGCCACAGCTGGGGCCATGCTGGTCGCTTTGGAGTGCTCTCCTCCTACTTCCTGGTGCAAAAGGGAGTCAAGTGTACCTTGCTCAGGAAAGGCTGGCTGGTGGGAAGATCACTTGGATGATCTTCCGTCCCACCCCTTCAACTGCTCGTCCTGGGTGCTGGTGGCAAGTCAGGCAGGGAGGGAACTGGCTGCAGCTGCCAGGAGCAGTGAGGAGGGGAGTTGCAGGAGCCAGTGTTGCTGCAAAGGGTGGCTTCAGGGACAAGCCTCAGCTCAGTCAGCTGTTTGTTGGACCTCATCCCAAGAACGGCCTGCACCTGACAGGGCGTCCCTGAGGAACCTGCCTCGGAAAAGAGCAAAAGGAAAATGTCTGACACGATTTTACCCCAGACTCTGGGCACGGGGAGGGCAGCAGGTGTTGAAGCACAGCTCCCAGGGACAGCCTGGACCTGTCAGACCTCCGCTGGGGGTCTGCTGATCCTGGGGCACTGAGGTGGGTCAGAAGAGTCCCGCTTTTACTGGCCCTGATGGCTCAGGCACTTGTCCTAGCCTGTCCTCATGTTGCTGAAGCTGTACGAGGCAAGAGGCATGGGGAGCTGTGCTGGTCCTCATCCCCTGCCCTCTGCCTTGCCTGTCACCAGGGACGCCGCGCTATCCAAACCTGCCTTCGGAGACAGGCGATGCTACCAGCTGCCCCCAGGCGCCAGGGGCCTGGCGATGCGCGCCGTGGTGAGTGAGCCAGCGTTGGGCTGCCCAGGGCAGCGCCAAGGGTCGTGGGTTTATGGCTGTGGGGACTCAAAAACCCTCACGTGGTACCCAGGTGACAAGCCTTCACACCCAGAAGTGCAGCAGGGTTGGGGGAGAGCAAGGTCAGGGGTGATGGAGTCAAAAGGGGGTAGGAAGCACAGTAGCTGAAATGGTCAAGGGTTTTCCCCCTCCACAAGCAAAACATGAGGCCCATCAGCCTGCCAGAGAGCTGGTCTGCAGGATGGGCCGGAGGACTGTGCGCTGGGAGCTGTGGGGTTGGTGACTGCATACCCTGCTGTGGCTTGGGGTGTCAGGTCCAGGACACGCAGCCACCAGCTCTCCCCAGGCGCTGTGTGTCTGTGGAGGGGAGTGTCATCTCTTGCCCATCGCAGCCTGTCTGTGGGCTCCTGTGGCCATTAGGGGCTCACCAAACCCTCCTGTGATCCATCCTGGGAAAACCAACCACCAGGCCAAAACTTCTGAAGAAAACCAACTGTGGATTCACTGGAAAATGTTCTTGTAGCCCAAGCTGCTGGGGTTGCGCGCGTGTTCCCCTCACAGGACCGGGATGTGCGTGAGGGAGCAGACATGCTGATGGTGAAGCCGGGCATGCCCTACCTGGACCTTGTGAGGGATGTCAAGGCGCGAGTAAGCTCCTTTGGCGTGCCAGCGAAGGGCACTGGGTGTCCCTGGAGGAGGAGGGGTGGGGTGGGCAGGAGAGGGGCACGTTTGGGATGGCCAGTTTGGATATATCCAAACCGGAGGGGCTGTGACTGTTGATTGCACGTCTTGCGGGCAAGAGGCCGTGGGCCGCGGGGAGGGGTGTCCTCTCTGCCCGCCGGCTGACCTCCCTCCCCTGGTGCTCCCCTCAGCACCCCACCCACCCGCTGGCCGTCTACCACGTCTCGGGGGAGTTCGCCATGCTGTGGCATGGGGCCCAGGCCGGGGCCTTCAGCCTTGAGGCCGCCGTCAGGGAGGCGGTGACGGCCTTCAGGCGCGCAGGTGAGGCGGCCGGCCCCGAGGCCTGCTTCCCCCCACGTCCCCCGACCCTGTCCCCTTGTTGCCCTCCCCTGCCCCCCCCCCCCCCCGCGGGGCGGCTCCAGCGTCTCGTCTCTCCGCAGGGGCCGACACCATCATCACGTACTTCGCGCCGCAGCTCCTGCGCTGGCTGAAGGAGGAAGCGGCGGCGGCGGGACGGGCCTGAGGGCGGGGCTTCCGG